GATGTCAGTGCTGGATCAAGAAGCCTGGTTAGGATTCCATTGGCTGGCAGCATGAAAGTTCAGAGAGATTTCCCAAAGAACTGAAATCACAAAGGCACCAAATTCCTGATCCTGCTTCTAGTCTTGGTCTCTCACATCCTCACACCCAGATAGCTGCAGGAATAGTTCATCTTAGCCTGGATAGGTAACGTTTTGCAAACTATGGAATCCTGTAAGCCCTCCACTTTATTTTCCTCTAAAAGTGTAGTAACTCTTTTTTCCTTTAGACTAGGAGTTTAAATGAGTTGCAATATTAGTTAAATGCTTCTGTGCTTTTTAATATAAATGCTGCACCACACTATTTTCTTATCAATTCCTTTGTTATTTCTTTAAAATAACTACTCCTCCATGGAATAGTTCTGGGTAAGAGTACATTTCTGGGTACAGGATACTTCAGCTATGTTCTTAAAGCAATAAGGTAAAAGTAAAGGTACCCCTGCCCGTGCGGGCCAGTCTTGACAGACTCTAGGGTTGTGCGCTCATCTCACTCTAGCGGCTGCGAGCCAGCACTGTCCGCAGACACTTCCGGGTCACGTGGCCAGCGTGACAAGCTGCATCTGGCGAGCCAGCGCAGCACATGGAACACCGTTTACCTTCCCGCTAGTAAGCGGTCCCTATTTATCTACTTGCACCCCGGGGGTGCTTTCGAACTGCTAGGTTGGCAGGCGCTGGGACCGAGCGACGGGAGTGCACCCCGCCGCAGGGATTCGAACCGCCGACCTTTCAATCGGCAAGTCCTAGGTGCTGAGGCTTTTACCCACAGCGCCACCCGCGTCCCTTCTTAAAGCAATAGACTCCAGCAAAGATCTGACCTTTCATGCAAGGTGCTGTGTGTAAATGCATTCAGACATGGGTTATTAGACACACATGTAGCAAATGGTTGTAAATATACTTGTGGTGGCAGCAAAGCAAATCAGAGTGTCATGTGTTCTCCTTACAAATTAAGGATGTCTATTTAAAACCATGGCCACACAGTTTTCTCATGCACACTAGTTGTATGGGATGGAAATCTGACAACATCATGGCAGATGGTGTTCATCTTCTTGCCTTGGGTGGAAAAAGCCACAGAGAAAATAAATGTACACAGCTCTTCAGACAGACTTTGGAGCAAATGGAGCAACAAACCCAAACTCAGGGCTTGTATGTGCCTCTTCTGGGAAAGAGGCATAACTTACTCAATGGTGTCAGCCACATATCTGTTGCTTGCCAATTTTTTAAAACTGCCAAGTTTAAATAGATGGAGCATTTAGTTAACACACTTCCAAATAGTAAAGGTAAAGGTCCCCCTGCCCGTACGGACCAGTCGTGTCCGACTCTAGGGTTGTGCGCTCATCTCACTTAAGAGGCCGGGAGCCAGCGCTGTCCGGAGACACTTCCAGGTCACGTGGCCAGCGTGACGAAACTGCTCTGGCGAGCCAGCACCAGCGCAGCACACGGAAACACCACACTTCCAAATAAAGCCTGTTAAATTCATTTGATCCTCTCCTAGCCTAATAAGTAATAATATTTATATTTATTATATACCTCATAATATAGATTTTCTAAGTGATGTACAATTAAAGTTAAGCAAAAAACAACTTTTAAATAGGCAAATAACCTTTTACCTTGTCATCTATTCTTGACTAGCACAGAAATCCATGGATACTTCCTGAAATTTTGTAGGGTTAATCCCCTCTTGGCTGGCTATGATATCAGTCAGTTCCATGCACCTGTGTGGGGAAGGGAAAAAAGGTGTTGCTATTTTACTTTCCCAAGCTTAGGTCAGTGGGAGGACTTAAACTTCAGTTTTACAAATATTGCTTCTGATTCAGGGTCTGAGGTGAGGTGAGACCTGGGAGACCAGAGTTCAAATCCCTACTTGGCCATGAAGCTCACTGGGCCAATCACAGTCTCTGAGCCTAACCTACCTCAAAGGGTTGTTGTGAGGATAAAATGAAAAGGAAGAGAACCATGTATGCCACCTTGAGCTCCTCGGAGAAAAGGTGGGATATAAATGCAATAAATGAATAAAAATTAATAGACACTGGGGGGGGGGGGACACCCAGCCGCACAGGGACACAAACAGCTGCAAATTCACATCAAACTCCAGGCCTTCATCACATTTGACGGATGAGTCTGATCATGTTTGGAGCCTTTTAGATAGGTGCAGCAGCTAAAACATACACCCATTCCATTCTGGCAGAATCATTTGCTCTAACTAGCAGCAACCCTCCAGGATCTTGGGTAGAGGTCTTTTACACATTGCCTGTTACCTGGTTATTTTAACAGGAGATTGAAGCCAAGACTATGTCTGGTGAAAGCATGTATTCTGTTACCCTATTTGTTGTTGCTGGACTGAGCATCAGCCACCTGTACGTGTCCAGAAAGTATTGCATTGGGTACCAAAATCTGACAAGTGCGCTTTCTCAGGAACTGCTGACTGCTGCCCCAGGTGGTGAGCCAAGTCACTGCCACTCCTCAGCTAAGAACCTTCAGAACTGAATCCATCCAACTCTCCCCTCCTCCTTTGGCTTATGAATGATCATGAAAGGGTTTCTAGCCAAATTCTGCTTGAGCCACAAGGTCTACATGTGTTATTCCTCTCTTCTGATCCTCATGAGAATGTAAGACAAGCTGCTGGATCTGGCCAGTGGTCCATCTAGTTCCGCATCCTTTACTCACAGTGGCCCACCAGGTGCCTGTGGGAAGCGCACAAGCAGGAAATGAGCACAAGAGCACTCTTCCCACCTGTGGTTTCCAGCAACTGGTATTCAGAAGCATTATTGCCTGCAACCATGGAGGTAGAGCATATCCACCATTGCTGGTGGATAGACCTCGCCTCCATGACTTTAACCTTTTAAAGTTGGAGCCCATCACTGCCTCCTGTGGGACTGAGTTCCTCATTGCTCTTTGATCTGGACCTGCTTCAGGCTGCCTTCTACAGCTCAGCCCTGACATCAGCATGAAGAAAAGAATAGAGGGAAGTCTTGAAGTTGTCTGGAAGTACAATCTGAGGGAGGAAAGGCTTTGAGGGTTAGGTGGGTCTGTCTATCCCAGTTGCTAATTTGCAATTCCACAAGGGAGGCATTCCATTTAGGAACGTACATCTCACAAATAGACTGCTGGACTAGGCATGAGATTTCAGAATGCTTTGGTTTTCTTGATTAGAGGTAGCCAACATTGTGCCCCCTCCCCATTTCCATTAGCCCTAATCGATGGCTGGGGATGATGTGGGTTGGAATCCAACAAACCTGGAGGGTACCATGTTGGTTCCCCCTGCTCTGGATAGGTCAAGCGAGGTCCAAAACGCTCTCATTGTGCTGTTGCAAAAAGACTCAAAGTGTGGTGCAGTTTGTTAGCATGTTGGACTAGTACCTGGGAGACCAGGGTTTATGTCCCCACTCGGCCGTGAAGTTCCCGGGGTGACCCTGGACCAGTCGCTGTCTCTCAGCCTAAGCTACAGGGTTGTTGTGATGATAAAATGAGGAAGAACTACATATGCCACCTTGAGCTGTCTGGATGTAAACATAAATGCAACAAATTAACAAATAATAAACTCCATAGGACTTATTTCAAAGTAAACAAGCAAAATTAAGTTGCAAAATGACTGCAATTCTAAGCATGCTTTTTTGGGAGTAACAGTGCAACCCTAGCCATGCCTACTCAGAAGTAAGGCCGACTGAATTCCATTGGGCTTATCCCTGGTGGGGGGGGGGGTTAAGGCTGCAGTCTCAGTACATGCATTTAGGTTCAGGCTGCAACTGATTCAAAGGTAGAAAGGGTGAACCAAAGTGATAAATTTTGTATTTTATATCTATCATATTTCTACTTGTTCTTTCCTCCTAGGAGCTCATGAAAGTGAATATGGTCCTTCCAACGACCCTGTAAGGTAGGCTAGGCAAGCTTCATCCCTAAGTGTATGATGGGGAATTGAAGCCCCATCTCTTCAATCCTTGTCTTGAGTCTTCCCTAACCAAATCCAAAGCCCCTGGACAGCACCAGGTTGGGGGATGTTCCTCTACTACACCTCATTTATTATTTGTTGTTGATGGTGATGTTTGCAACTGCAAAGGCTCTAACTACAAGGAAAGCGTTTCTGAAAAGGGCAGAAGGTATTTCTCTCTCTCTCTCTCTCTCTCTCTCTCTCTCTCTCTCCAGGCAGGTGTGCACAGGCACACACACATAGCCATACACACACACACACCTCTCTTGGAATGCACACTGAAAGTACCTTGGACTTCCCTGGGCACTTCAGAGAGCTCCTTATCTGAGTTTCCAGGTTGTTAAAGCCTTTGGACAGTATTAATCTGCCTGGCAATTTAGAAAATAAAAAGGCATTTTGGCCGAGATCCAAGCTGCATGGTTATACTTGCACTGTGGAATGGATTCGGTGCCTGGGTTGCCTTTCCCCCGCTTTTCAAATCAGAACAGAAGCAAATGCGTGTCTGTATAAAGTGGGGCAAGATGGGGTGGGGAGATTTCAGTGATCCCCGAAGAATCGTGACAACAGGAGCCCATTTTTGGGGAAAGGGGGGGGCAGTTGGAGCCAGCAGAAAGTTAATCGCGCCCGCGGTCTCCCAACACACGCACACTACTTCTCTTATTTAAATTCCTTCTCCTCAAAGGTGCTTCTCAGAATGAACTGATATACAGAGAACGTGCTGGGGGCGGCGCTAAGTTAACACGCGTTTAGTGTAGTAGTTAGATTCCAAAAATCCATTTCCCGCAGTGAGCGTGCTGCATCGTACAACTGACACGAAAGGGACAGGAACCGTGTTGCGATTAACGTGTGTATGTGTGTTAAGCGGGGTGGGAGGAAGCAAACGATCCGGCTCGGATGTGCATTATGAAGCCGCTCCTGGGTCCTCAGAGGCAGGCAGGCAGGTGCGCGTCCCTCTGCAGGGCGCTGGCGTCCGTCCCGTCCAGGCAGGCAGCCCGGAGGAGGAGGCGGTGGGCGGGCAAGCAGGCAGGCAGGGCAGCCGGGGAGGCCCCGTCGGGGCTCCAAGCTCCGCCGAAAGGAGGCGAGGCCGGTCAAAGTTCCCAGGAGGTTGGACACTAGAGGGCGATGCCCGGCTCTGCCTGCGAAGCAGGGGGTATAAATAGGAGGCCGAGGGCTGGAGGAGGCAGCCCGGGAGCAAGCCGAGAGCCGAAGGGAGTAGGAAAGACTCATCCGTGCAAGCGGCAGAGCCTGTGCAGCCTCAGCCTGGAGCCAGCGGGTCCCCCACCATGCGCCGCGGCGGCCCGCTTTAGCTACTCCATGGAGTCGGGCAACTTCTACGAGGCGGACTCGCGGCCCCCCCAGAGCAGCGCCCTCCAGCCGCACGCCCTGCAGCCCGCGCAGCAGCAGCGCCACCAGCCCGCTTCGCCCGCCGGGGCGCACCCGCACCTGCCCGCCGCCGGCGCCTACGGCTACCCGGCCTCGGAGCTGCCCGACATCTGCGAGCACGAGAACTCCATCGACCTGAGCGCCTACATCGACCCGGGCGCCTTCAACGACGAGTTCCTGGCCGACCTCTTCCAGCACAACAAGCAGGAGCGCGCCGCCAAGGCCGGCCTGGAGTACGGCGTCGGAGCCGGGATGCCGGGCGTCGGCTTCCCGCAAGGCGGCCCGCTCTACGGCTACGCGGACAAGCTGGAGGCCGGCGCGGCCTACGAGCGCCTGGCCGGGGGACCGGCGCTGCCCGGCCTGCGCCCGCTGCTCATCAAGCAGGAGCCCCACGAGGACGACGAGGCGGCGGCGCTGGCCGCCCTCTACCCGCCGCCGGCCGGGCCCAACTGCAGCCACCTCCAGTACCAGGTAGCGCACTGCGCCCAGACCACGGTGCATCTGCAGCCCGGCGGGCAGCCCACGCCGCCCCCCACGCCGGCGCCCAGTCCCCACGGCGGAGCCCACCACCCGCACCACCGGCTCCACGCGGCGGGCGGCGGGTCCGCGGCGTCGTCGGGCAAGTCCAAGAAGCTGCTGGACAAGAGCAGCAGCGAGTACCGCGTGCGCCGCGAGCGCAACAACATCGCCGTGCGCAAGAGCCGCGACAAAGCCAAGCAGCGCAACGCCGAGACGCAGCAGAAGGTGCTGGAGCTGAGCAACGACAACGAGCGGCTCCGCAAGCGCGTCGAGCAGCTCAGCCGAGAGCTGGAGACCCTGCGCGGCATCTTCCGACAGCTGCCCGAGAGCTCGCTCGTCAAGGCCATGGGCAGCTGCGCCTGAGCGCGTGCCCCGACGGAGCCGGACTCCGACCCGCGCCGCCGCCAAGAAGGGCTGCTCGCTAGTGCTCTCTCCAAGCTTCTCTCTCTCTCTCTGTTTCTTGCCAGCAGCGAGGGCTCTGAAGCGCTCGCCCGGGGAAGCTGCGGCGCGCAGACTATGGTGGGAGCCCTTCTTGCCCGCAAGTAGGTGCCGGGGCGCACACCGGGGGCTCGTGAGAAATTCAACCCCTTTACCTACGTTGGGACTAAAATAAAAAATAAATCCCTCAGTCTGGCCCCATTTGCAGGGTGCAGAGCCAAATGTGCAGGGACTTTTGTGCCTTAGACGGGGAGGCGGCCCCCGACAACAGCCTGGTAGGGTCTTTCTCCTGAAATCTGAACTCTTCCCAGGACTTGCCAGGTGGTGTTTTGAAATCGGGTGCGCCCCTGCCGCCCCGGAATGTCAGTGCCTGGCAGATCCTGGGCTGCCTGGTGCAAACTCGGCGGTCTCTCAAGCTTCCAGAAATCGGACTGGAGCGAGTTTGTGGCGGAATGGAAGGAGCAGAGACGTTTTACTGACGCGCCTGTTGATGCTTCGGGGGTTGGGGAGTCTCTCGGGGTGAGGAGGGAAGCAGTGTGCAATGGGGGATTCTGCTGCTGCTACTTTTCAAAAAGAATTCCCCCTCCACCTCCACCTTAACAAGGCTGAGAGGCAGGTTGGGGAAAGGATAGGGGGGCATGATCTCTCTCCATTACCACGTTGTTCAACCCCACCCTGGACTGAAATTCTGGACTCAAAGGGAAACGGTCACCCCAGAAGGCAGCTTTGGGATGGGAGGGGTCTTTCCTATCCAAGCGAAGAGCAGCATTTTTGGCCTGCACTGTATGCTAATGGTGGCAACCCCCCCCCAAACTGAAGGACCTCTGGATGCGGGTATTGACTGATCTAACCCTCCCAAGTTCTCTCCCTCCCTTCCTTCATCCCACCTGTGCCTTCTGTACTGTGAAAGCCAAGAAGGGGTCCCCTCGGTGTCTGCTGACCCTTCTTTTTATTAATGTTATTATTATTAATATTTTGTATTTTATTGCTTCGATCCTTGCCATCTCACCAGCTGGAACTAGTGGTGTCCTGTCTCTTTGAAAAGAAAAAGTAATAATCCCGCTGGCTTCCTTGACAGTGAAAGCCAACTTTGGAGTTGCTTCTGTAATTCCAGCAAGTATGACCTGCCTGGGATTCCCACCTGAAGGCAGGTAGAGAGAGAGTCTCGCACGCTTGTTGTTGACTTGGAGGTGCAGAGGTGGGGCTCTGGGGTCCCAGCTGCACCGAGTTCTGTCTGTGCGGAGTTTCCGTTCTTTGGAGAGTGAAGGGGAGGCGGTTCTGTTTTGTCTATGCCCCCCACTTAGGGTCCCAAGTCCCAGTAAGCACTTTTAGCCAGCTGGTGCTTCTCTCCAAAGAAACAGCACTGAATTTTTACCTAAGTGCCAATTCTGAATCCTCTTAGTATCAGGTAGTAAAAATGTTTAAGAGTTTGTCTTCTTTTAAGTGTGATACCTGGAAATCAATGTGTTTTTATATATGGTGTATTTTTGGAGCTAAACAAAGATCCAGGACTTTAAATATCCTGGTTTTAAAAGTCATAAATAAAATGTAAAATATTCTGCCATAACCCTTTTTGTCTGCGTGGCTTCTATTATTTTGGGACTGCATGTGAGCAAAGGGGTTTCACATGACTGTTTCTTAACTGACTGTCAAAAGCATGTAATACCAGATTATTTTATCTGTATGCTATTGTGGGCAGGGGATGGGATTGGACAGGAAAATGCTCTTGGACAAAATCTTGTGTATTCTTACTTCAGAATAAATCCCATGGCACTCAGTGTAGCTTACTCCTAAGTAGGCATGCTGGTTTTAAGGATCCATGCCCCTGCATGCTTGCATGGGAGTAAGGTTTACTGAACATGGTTGGACTTGCTGAATGCGCTTTGGATTTGGGCTGCAGATGTGCTGGTAGAAGAGGCTTGCACCTGTTCAACAGGATCCAGCTTTGATTAGAAGGTGCCTTTTAAAATGAGATTTTAAGTTGCATCTAATGAATTGAGCCAAATACTCAGTGTTTCAGGCCGCAGAGGCAGGGATGCAGGTAATCCAGTGATAATGCTTTGTAGAAGGTAACACAGACATGGTAAACTTTCTCTTTAACAATTCACCATACATTTTGAACACACTTTAAATGAAAAATATTAAATTATATTTTACAGAATTATTTCGCCCCAACACCACCTCTGTTTTGGCTGTGACTCTTATGGGAAATGTTACTTTAACTTTAGTCGTGTAAATGAAGTTGAGGGTGGGTGCTCTCCCCCCACCCACTTCTTACTGCATTTGGCAGTATGGTAAGGGCAGTCTATTTATTTTTAAAATAATATTTTGAGGGAGGGGAGGAGGATGGTTTAGAACCAGATTTCTTTTGCTCAGTTGTGTAGCCTGACACCCATTTCTTCTGAGTAAGCATGTGCTAGTATTGCAACTTTAACCTGGGCTGTTGGTGTTTGTCAGAATGTTTTTTATCAAAAGGGGTAGGGGAGAGACTGCACAGGTACACCATCATCATAGTGATGATGAAGTTGGGAATCAGAGCACACTTGCAAACAGCCACTTGGCTGTGGTGGGAATTCCCTCCAGGAGACCAAGAAAGGATCCGCAGCAAGAGTCATTTCTCTGAGGCTACGCAGAGTTGTGTGGGCAGGGCTCCCTCAGCAAAAATAATTTGTGCACTCATAACTTTCTATGATAGAGACTGGGGGCACAGCAGCCAAGATCTGTGGCCAGGTTATTATGTGGGAGGCTTAGAGTTCGCTTGGAGGAGTGGCACTGGGGAGGCAGTGCTGGATTTAGGGCTGTGCGGATGGTTCCCTTACACAGGGTGCAGAGCCGAGGGGGCACAAAATCTATAAAGCAACTTATACCAAAAGGAATTATTGTGAAAATAAGAAATATTTGGGGTGTGTGCGCCAATTTTTGACCTTGCTCAGGGCGCCATATTGCCAAAGTCCATCCTGGTGGAGGGGAGGGAAAGTCCTTTTGCCTTGTGTCCTTTCCCTGTTCTGATGCCCCCTCCCTGGTGCCCAAAGCTTTGGACAGAACAGTGACAGTCATCTCCCTGCTCTAAATCACGCCCCCCCTGCTGATGCCTAAAGCTGCTATTAGCACCGCAACAGAAGCTTACTTGGGCCTTTGGGGCAGGGTGTGTTTGATGAGTGCTACAAGCTCTTTCTCAGTGCTGCTTATCCAATTGTGCTCTGAGCCCACTGCAGCTTTTCGGTAAAAATGAAAAATGTCATGAGACCTGAATACACTGTATTTCTTTTTCTAGTCTCTTTTGCAAGGTGGGAGTTAAATGCAGAGAAGCGAGTCTAGCTACCTTTACTGGGATCAGCACCCAAAAACGCTCAGATCACCCGTCACTGTTCCTTCCTGGTTTAGTGGCTTATTTGAGCAACTCTGTCCATTTCCTGCATCATTAGGCTGCATTCTCCTAACCACTGGCTCCTCAGCAAAAAGAGAGAGCAAAAAGTGCCACTTGCAGAGAGAGAGAGATCAGCCTCTGTTCCTAAACTGTTTTTCTCCTTATATTCCTGAATCTCTGTGCCGTTCTCCCCAACGTAAGACAGCACTATGAAGCTGATCACATTTCGCTGCCTTTTCGTGGCTCAGATCTCTGTGCTTCACTTGCCCACTGCAAAGAGAGAGCTGGGCATGCAAACGATCTGCAAATAAATTCATTTGTGAAGCTCTGTGAAACTTCTAGATTGCCAGACGGCAAGGGAAGGTTGTGCATGTCACAAGCAGTGTATTTTGGGGAGGGGGGGAGGGGCAGGATCAAAGGCACCATCACCACCATCATATTGAGAAGGTCATCATTCTGCACTGACTCCTCCCTTTTTACCAGTATAGGGGGAGCAGCTACAAGGGAAGGGGTAGCAAATGGCACTGGAACTCGCTCATACTGCACATGATATAGTCCCATCCCTGACTGACTTGCCTATCCTACAACTGATGGGAGGTGGGGTGGCTGATGGCCCAGCGTCCTGGAAGCTGCTTGAGAAGATCTGGTATAAACTACTGGTAATTGCAAATCCAATCTCTGGGTGCTGGTCCTTATGAAGCTGGAATAGCACCACCCAGGCACTTGAGGGGAGGTCTCGGTAGGTTCCCAAGGTTTGAAAAAGTACCAAAAAAATAGAAGGAGAAAAAAAAACTATGGGGGTTGAGACTCTCCAAAATAGGAGTGGGTGTGCACAATAGCCACAAAATGCTCAGTGTTTATTGTGAGCAAAAACTGAGTGGGTGGTGGAGGGAATGGAATGGAGTCCTCTCAGGAAGGGCCTGGTGGCTGGCTGGTAAGCAAGCTGCACATGAGCACTCCACCCTGGAAGTGTATTGTTGTGGGTCCCATCTGTACACATCTTATTGAGTACAGAGTGCAATGTACCTTGAGGTTTAAATTAGGAACAAGGGTTGCTCCTGGGCAATCAAAAGTTTGGGAAACGTTCCTTGTGATGTTTGTGGCTGCTGTAATGGTTTGAGTTCCTTGGCTGCTTTGGAAAGGGCAGAGAGGAGAGAGTGAAATGAATCGTGTGAAGAGTTTTGCTATCTACCTTGAAGGAAGGACAAGTGTGCTCCCCCCCCCCATCTTCATCTGGGCTGATGGGAGTTGTAGTGCATAACATCAGGAGGCACCAGTCTGAAGAAGACTGAATTTGAATTTAGCACTAAAAATATATATACATTTTTAAACTATGTACATAATCAAAGAACATAAACTCAAGTAGTACAAGTGTACATGATTTTTACATAAGAGGGAATAATGTACTGTATAATGCTGAACACTGTTCTGCCAGTCTAGTATTTTAAAGCACTATAAATGAAATACATATTTCAGTTAATCTGTTTGAGTATGAATTCTCTCTCCTTGATGCCTTATGAATATGCCGCTTTGGTTTACAAGGGCACTTTCTAAATACTTTCATACAATCATCTACTGGCAGAGTTAATGGAGATTCCCAGTACAAAGCAATTCATTATTTTGTAGCTAACACAGTAAATCTAAGCACCTATGGATCATCACATGCAGTAGTCAATAAATCTTTCCCAAAATATTTTTGGATTGAGTGGGATTATGTAGTCTGTAGTTTCCTCTAGTATTCCTACATTTTGGTTCTAATAAAGACAAGGACACAGGTAAAAACCTTAGTCAGACCAATTACTTCACGTGCCTCAGTATTGTCTATATCAGTCTTCCCAACCGTGCGCTTTCCAGATATTTGGGGCTACATTGTAGTGCAGAAATCTTAAAAGGCACCAGGCTAAGGAAAGCTAGTCTATGCTTGTAGGCAGAACCTCTCCAGACTTTCAGACTGGGGACTTTAAAAGTGCTTGATTTTTGCTAGATTATGAGCTGGATTTTCTAGTTGATTTCTGTACACACACACACACTCTCTCTCTCTCTTCACCCCCCCCCCCATCAGCATTCAGTTTGTTAAATACAAGTGGGTTTATCTGAGCCAGGAGTTAAGAATATGTTTTGGATGTATATGTTCCTTTTCTGCAACATGTGAAATAGAGGGGAACGTGCCTCATCTCACACAGAGAAGTATTTGCCTGTGATGCTAAGTGACCACATGCAACCCACGGGGACATCCGGGACTAGTGCAAAGGGATCAGAGGGCCCCACTGCATGACTTCCAGGCAGAAGTTCCATTATTTCACATTTCCAGAAAACCGAGAGCTGGCTGCAAGAGCAGGCTCCCTTTGCAACTCCCATTCGCAGTGAACTGGCCATAGAAAGCACCTTGCTGGATCAGGCCGCCATACAGCTGATCCATCCAGCTCAGTACTGCCTACACTGAGTGGCAGTGGTTCGCCAAGATATCAGAACTGGGGCCTTTCCTAGCTCTGGCTAAATAACGAAACATATAGATCTGGTGCCAGCTGGTATCTTTCACCTGCAACTGAAATGCTCTATTTCTCTTGCTCCCTTCACCTCTCCATTAAGTCATGGTATTGCTGCCACAATCAAGTTCAAAGTGAGCCCCCAGTTTCTCTTTAAAAAGCACACACTGTGGGACTGAATGACAACACTGAACTACACTGCAGGGTTGCTGTACACTGCTCTAAGTCCCTCTCCTAGCAAAATCAGTATAACACTAGGGCACTTTGCAGGACTGGTGTAATGCAGGCTTTCTCAGCCACAATCTCATCTCTAGTGGTATGGAGTATGAATTGTGGTGGACTTTATCTGCACTGGAATTGGCAGGATAAAAAAAAAAAGTTTTCAAACTCATAGAGGGGGCTGTTTTTGTTGTTTTTGCATGAAACATGACCCAAGTTGGAAAGATCATGAATTACATCCATATACAATTTTGTCTTAAGTATACAGATGGATACATTTGCACTAGTTTATTTTTGTTCTCTCTCTATTTATAGTAAAACATGCACAATGTATTTTTTGCTGTTATGTAACATTGTAAATTAAATTTAAGAATGCTGGTATCACTCCTCTGGTGCATAATTCTCCATTGGCCTGCTGAACATCAAAAAGCATCCATGGAGCACAGAGGGGCTTGTGCCAATGTGGAATCCGCTGGATCCAACCGTGGCTTCACT